ACAGAGGAACGACTTGGATCAACAGCCACATTAATACAGGCTCAGCATTACAGTCATACCTCCAGTGCGATCAGAATATGAGATAAGTCCTGTGCCTTTCCAATCACCCCACCATCACCATCACAAACCGACTCCCACAGTGCTCTTCGGTGAATCGGCGCTATCAGTGTTCTCCTGAGAAGTCCAGACTGTGGCTGTTTGGACCCCGTAAACATTCTTGTTCTCTGACATGGATAACACGTCATGTATTTTCTAGAACAACACCAACATCTACTCTTAGTTATCAAACAGCTTTTAAGGAACGGGCCAACATGTTCTCACAAAGATAAACATAAAAGCTCACACTCAGTGTTTCAGGGGGAGGAGGCTGTTTTCACTGAGTCCCAGCAAGTGATATTTTATTGGAAATGGGACACTGCTTCCTGCTAACACACACACACACACACACACACACACACACACACACACACACACACACACACACACTTAAAACATGTGAGAACAGCTGGATCCCAACAGGTTTTTCTGAACATACAAACACAGGAATCTCAGCAGGGTGATAACGAGTTCTGTGCTGTGCCTGAAATGAGCTGTGGAGCAGTCACGTGGAGATGAAGATGGAAATCTAACTATGAATGTGAGAAGACAGAGAATTGCTAAAATAGAGATTTTTGGTTTTTGCCTTTAAGGTAAAACTGCTTAAAATTTTAGCTTTCGGGTCAAACTTAACTACAGGTTTGCTAAAGAAATTCTACACAAAGCCTCATTTGTAAAAGTGATTTTACAACTTAATGTCAGAGCAGACCGGCTTCCATTAACAATACAAGGTTAAATCTGTTTTCCTAGTTTCTTAAGTGTCGCGACAATCCTTTAATTGTAGTAAGGAAACCTCCCAAAATCCAAGCTTAGAACATTTTCCTCTAAGAACCACTGATTCTGTGCAAAATTACATGACACTAAAATAAGTGTTAGAGCTTGAAATGAAACAGTTTATCAAAATATGATGAAAAAATTACACAAAGTTTTATTGCTGCAAGAATGGACGCCATCACCAAAGCTTTCACTTGATGAGCTGTGTCTTTGTCATAATTGCCAAGTTTTACACACAAGACCAGTTTCCACCAATAAAAATTGTTAACTAATTTCCTCAAATGTGATTAAAATTTATGAGTGAAAGGGAGCTTAATTTGAGGACCCCTTTAATTTTAAAACCTCACACCCAAAAAGTTGCTTTAAGGAGTAAAAGTGTTCATTTTCCCTCTAACTTAATATTAAATGTTATGTTTTCCCTTTATAAACATATTTCATAAGCCAATATTACAGGGGAGCAACTTCTCTTAACCAAGACTGGTTTAATCATTTCCTAAATTCCTCAAGTGTCAGCACAATTCTTTAAATTTACCAAGGAAACCGCAAACACCTAAACCGAGGAGCATTTCAGGCCCAAACCTCCTTCTGTGCAAAAACACCAAAGTACCAGAGATTGAAACGGGACTGCAGAATGAACAGATTCATAAAAACACGGTGACCTTTCACGCTGAAAGTAACACAAATGACGTTTAAAACGTGAGACGCTGCCAAACCAAAGTCCAACAACAAAAACAGCCATTTGCACATTTTCTCGGTTGTCGACCCTTAAAATTAGATTTTTGAACAAGACTGGGGGCATTTCTTTTTAAATGTCTGCGTGATCTTTAATTCGGCATTGGTCTTACAATGAATAAAGCGCGTGATCACCCGTAGTTTTCATTTCATTGTCACAGCAATCAGCTGTTATGAAGCGTTAATGGAAACTGTCTGAGGCTCACAGCTTAAAGTGATGAATTGATTACCTGGTGCTGACACGTTTTTCGACTGTAGCTACGAATGAGAAGGTGGCGCAGTTAACCTGCCACAGCCACCAATAATCGACACCTTAAATTGGCTGTTTTTTAAATTAAGTTTGGCCTACAGACCCATCTCCCTGACGAAAGCGGGCAAACTATTGACGGGAAAGCCAAAACAACAGGCAGCAGCTGCAGCATCCTCTCCGTGGCTGCCATGCGGCTTCCTTCGGCTCATTCCCCGAAAACACGCGTGTAAAATTCTGATTAAAGCGCCTCGTGAAGGGCACATCAGTCAAACCCACCGCCTGCAGCTGCTGCTGATCGGCCGCCTTCCCGACCAGCGGCGGCGGGTCGCCCCTCTTCTGCAGCCCCTTCCGCGGGTGCTCCATGTCGGCTTTGTTGAACCCCCCGGTCCGGTCCTCTCTCTTCTCCCGGCTCCTGGCGCCTCCGTCCCCGCCGGTGGAGTCCAGGCTGCTGAAGTTCCACACGATGAGAGTCTGGACCAGCAGGACGGCCAGAGCGGCGACCAGCAGCAGCGCGGACCTGGAGCGCCGGGCCAGCCTGCGGGCGCACGGGTTACCGTTCATCTTCTCCTCCTCCCTCCCTCCGGGTCAGACTCAGACTGAGAGCTCCATCCGCTAAACGCCGACAGCGGGGTGTGAATGCTCCCCTCCGCGGCCAGAGAGCTGCTACTGGCTGGCAGAGAGCAGCAGGAGGAGGAGGGAATTTGGCACAGACTCGAAATGAGGAGAGAGTTTCGGAGGCGGTGAAGAGGACGCAGAGGCCCTCATGCGGCCATTTAACGTCAGTAGTTCAGAGAAAGTCTGAGATTCCCCGAATGCACCAGTGAACGACTCAGGAAATGCTTCCTGCCTGTGGATACATATCTGTACGACTCCCCCATCCAGTAGCTGCACCCTTCATCACATGCTGCAGTGAAGTTTTACAGTAAACTGTCCGTAATTTTCTGGATATGCAAATATCTTAATTATAAATATATTAGAGCTGTTTCTTATATTTTGTAACGTTGTAATATATCGTATATTCAGCCTGTTGCTGTTCTTATTGTCTTGGACCGACTGTAGCCACATCATTTCCTCTGGGATTAATAAAATGTTCTGAGTCTGATTGTGAAGGACACCTCTGCAGGGCCGGAGCTGCATTTCTGTAGACAGGAGCAGAAAGCCGTCGTTGCCCCCCCCATGAAACCACACACTGAAAAATTATAAATTAATATTTTTTTTACTTTTCGAGGAAAAATACCAACAAGTTTGCCTGAATTGTAATGCTGTGTGATACCAAATAAATAAAGGGAGCTTTATAGAGGAGAGCAGTGTTTCATGATTTATGAGGTGAATCACCATCAACACATTTGAATGATCACTAAATCAGTGTGATTTTCACTTTCTGCCATAAATAACACAGTGAACACATCTTTCAGCTTTCATGTACATAATTAAACCGGTTGTTTGAGACCTGGAACAGAAACGTGTCTGTGTCTAAAACACTTCAGGCCAGCTTCTGTTGCTTAAATGTGCTATAGACGTTAAATAAAATAGACGTGACGGGGAACGCTGAAAAGTTGGGACATTTTTCACAGTTCCTGTTTGACGTATATTTTTTTCACTTAAAAAATAATGGATCATTTGCAGTGCTGATCTTAGACGATAGAAACAAAGTATCGACCCAGCACTGAAACCCTGTTGATAGCATCGATATGAACATTTTGCTACTTTGTCTCTGTTTCTGTCACCATGATCACACTGGAGTTTTTTCACTGCTGTTCCAGTTTTCTTTTATAAGGCAGCCCCAGTACAGCTGGTCAAATTTTGGTTTTTGAATGAGCATATAGTAGGAGTCAAACCTGATTTTCGACATGATATTTAAGTGATATTTGTTACTGCTTTCATTATCTGAGTGCCAGCATGTTCAACCTAAACATAGCCCCACCTGCAGTTTCCTCTGGTTCACATTTGGCCTTGACTGAGGATTTAGGCACACGTGAATCATTTATGGATCAATTGTGTGGTGACATCTGGACCACATCTGGATTCAGCACTAAGAAACAAATGGATTATTATCAGGACATCCTTTCCTTCTCACAGTAACCCTGACAGGTACATGAAGGTCGTTATCAACTTTGTAAAAGAGAATATGTTGACTTCTCCTCTAGCAGCAGGGTAAAAATCATAATTAAACAACACCTTTTCTTTCTAGGGAAAGGCCGAATAACTATATATCTTTGTGGTCTCCTGTCAAAAACATGGATGTGGGACCTGCTGTTCTGCTAACCGCACCTCATGAATACCATGACGTGTGACTTACAAGAAAATGTACAAGACCTGAAACAAAAGTGAAACTTGGATTTAAAACCGGTTGAACAAGCTAACAGGTGGCTGTGTTACTGAGAAACAAACAACGGGCCGATGATTTTTATTCCCCGTCCTCCCTTTAGATCTGCTTCTCCTGCTCCCTGTTCGTCACCTTAAAGAAGAAACAGCATTTTCAACTCCTGCTTCATTCAAAGTGCATTTATTGGGTGTATTTGGCGATTGAAGAATATTCCATGTCTTTGACTCGAGGTTACTTTTGCAGTTTGCTGTGGGCGTGCACTTTAATTTGACTCAGATCTTGATTTTTAAAAATCTTGACTGGATTTAAAATCCACTGTGGTTGTGTACAGAGGCAAAATTACAAACGTGTGCCATTTTCCAAAAGTCCAGGCCTAACAGCATGTCAGCCATATTCCCATAAGATGTTTTATGTGATGAGAAATGTAAGAGAGGACACAGCAGAGCAATGGAAACTTTAATACTGGTAGGAATGTAGTTGGACAGGTGATTCCCGTTTGCACATGTCCTTCTGATATTTCTGACTGCCTGTAATTCGTCTTACAGACCTATAGGAAAATATACATTTTGAAAAGGCAAATTTGTGCTGATCATAAATCTTTCGTGGAGGAAAAGAAAGTTCTCGTAAGCCCGTTTTGTCTGATAGGCCCTGGGTGGTGTGCAGTTGGTTCTCAGGACTGAAACCTATGATAACTCCTGTACAGACCACTCCCAATAAATAACATCATCTACAATCTAAAGTGAAGGACGTAACAATGTGCAGAATGTGAAACAGCTGATAGAAGGATTTCTATTCATGGTACTTCCACCTGAAGGCTGAACATTGTTATTTAAATGAAGCAGACTGAGACACAGGCTGCACTTTTGGGTGAACCTGGAGAGAGAGGTACGTGGACTCGGCTTTTCTTTTTTCTTCAAAGTCTAGATTTTCACAGATAGTTCTGTGTACATAAAGTGCCAATTAAAGTCCAGTTAGCTGCTTATTGACTAATCAGCTTTGTGACTCTTTCAGATGAATTGTTTATTTCTAGAGTTTCAGTCAATATTTAGAGATTATCAGAACACAAACAACATTAGTGAAGGTTACCAATGACCCTCTGAAAGCCTCTGACAGTGCACTCTCTGGACCTGTCCTGCTAGGCAGCGTTCAGTACCAGTGACCATAATATTCCTCTGCAGACAGTCGAGTACTTTGTACTGTGGGTGTTGGTACTGAAGAAAATGCAATGCACCTGTTTGGATCATTTCTAATAGGTTCTGGTAGATTCTAGTAATTTTTCGTGTAAATATTCTCGTCTGTCTTCTTCACCCACAAAACGTAGTCACAGAGTTGCACATGGTTCTTGGGTTGGCACCAGTGCTTTTTATTTTATACATACTTTCCATAGGTGCTGCTTATTACAATAATACATACGACATACCCGGGCCTGTCTTTAAGACATAAAGGTCTAGATGACCACTAATTTTTCTGCTTCTAAATTCTGATTTAACTGTTATTGTACTTCCTGCGAATAACCCTCAGAAACCTGGTGTCTAAGCAGATGCTGACTGGATGGTATTAGCTTGGCCTCCAGTGAGGCTCCACTTAGAGGTCTCATTTTTATCTGCATTAAGATACCAACACTGGTATACTTGGTATCTACCCAAGTGTGTTAAATAATATATAGAATATATTCATCTTATGATATTTTAAAATTGGGGGGACAGTTGTTGGATTTAATGAGATTTGCATTTTACTTTTATTATTATATATTTTTATCATTATATTCTGTTGGCTTTATGTTGACATCATAAAGCCAAACTCCAACTGAAATGAATCAAGTGTTTTAGTCTCTGTCTTTCTAATATTCATGTTTTCCATTTTTTTTCTTAGTATATTATTGTATATGTGGATTTTTATTCCATATGTTTGGACTGGAAATTATTTAAGATTAACTTTACTTAAAAATGAATTTAAAGTAAATTCAAATTGCTTTTCTGGACACACCTTTAAATTACTTGACATATAATAATAATAAAAATAAGCCTTTTTGAACGGTAACCCTTACCCTGTTTTTGTCTTAATTTGATGATGTCCTCATCATAATAATTCTTCTTCCTGCAGGGACACTGACACCGATATCAGAAAATAAAAAATGAGCATTGAGTGGGCTGAAGATGACGGTCTTCCTTCTGGGGTAGTTCGAGTGGACCGTGAAGGACCAGAAGATGGTAAAACCTATGTCATGTACCATGGCACAAAAAGGGCAAATGTTTCATCGATCCAGAAGTCAGGTTTTACTCAGTCTTCAGGCGGGATGCTCGGTCGGGGCGTTTACCTCAGCAGAGACCTGGAGAAAGCGAGTCGCTATCCCATCAATCACCCTGAGCATGACAGGGTTGTCATTAAGGTTAGGGTCAACGTGGGAAAAGTGAAGGCCATCAATCGTCAGGACCACCCACTTCAGAAGACCTGGCATGACCACGGATACGACACCGCCTGGGTGCCGCCCAACTGTGGGATGGTGCCAAGTGGCCTGGAGGAGAATTGTGTCTGGGATCCCAAGCGAATCACAATCATTGAGACCATCAAACCAAAACCTGTCAGGGATACTCGAGCTGGTTCAAGACCGATCTCGATGAGAGAATTAACTTACTCACTCCCAGACCTCCCACAGCATAATCCCTACTCATATGATTATGATGATGATTATGATGCATGGTGTGCATGGATGCACTACAGGTAAATTCCACAAGCAGTTATTGTTGTATTTTGCATATTTGGAAGCGTTTTATATATTTTGATGTAAAAAAAAAAAAGACATTGAGTTTTGTATGTGTCATTGTAGTCCAGCAGGATTTCAGGCCATGGGGTGGAGCGCACCAATGCCAGACAGCAGTTCTGATAGTGAAGGCGGTCGTGCTGGTGCTGGCCGTGCTGGTTCTGGTCGTGGTGGTGCTGGCCGTGCTGGTGCTAGCCGTGCTGGTTCTGGCCGTGCTGGTGTTGGCCGTGCTGGTTCTGGTCGTGGTGGGGCTGGCCGTGGTCGTGCTGGCCGTGGTGGTTCTGGTCGTGCTGGCCATAAAGACTGAGCTTGGTTCATGTAGCCTTTGAATGACACTTATTTTGGTTTGTGTGTTTCTTTCTTTTGGGGTAAAATACAGGCTTGTGTGTCTTTTTTGTTTATTTATTAATAAAACCTTTATTCTATTGTCAACTTTGCCTCCCTGTCTCCTTTTTCAAACTGATTATTGTTATCTCGGTAACATCAGTTCAATATTTATTCATATTAAAGCATTTTTAGTGTAAGGTAGAGCCTACTATCTTAGTGAGAAGACCCCATCAGTGAAGCAAGACTTGGTGACAGTGGGAAGGAAAAAGTTCTAACTGGAAGAGACTTTTCATACTTTATTCAAAAAGGTAAACGTCCATATATTCATTAACAGCAAAGTGCCTAAATGCACTGAATCCTCCCCAGTGATTGACCACAGAGATGACAAAACTAAAAAATATAATGATCTTAAAAAATGTAAAATCATAAAAAATGGTAAATGGCCTGCATTTGTATAGTGCTTTTCTAGTCCTTAAGGACCCCAAAGCGCTTTACACTACATCCACCCATTCACACTGATGGCAGCTACATTGTAGCCACAGCTGCCCTGGGGCGCACTGACAGAGGCGAGGCTGCCGGACACTGGCGCCACCGGGCCCTCTGACCACCACCAGTATAAAAAAGAAACAAAGATGTTCAAAAATCCAAGCAAAACAACACAAAAAGGGAAAAATTGCCTATAAAGATTTTTTAATAGCAAAGAGGACATAAAATAGCCCCCAAAAACAAAACGGGGTTTGTTGGGGATCTTGCTCTTTTTAGGAGGCATGGGTTTGCTTTTTTAGCTTAAAAAAATACTCAGAGACATTTGAAAGTGTAAATACAAAGTTAGCAGTAACCTTAAAGTTACAGTGATCACATTTATGGGAAATATGTTATTCCGGTAAACTGGTTTATGTTGTGTAGACGTAAGACAGCCTGCAGCAGGAAATGCAGCAGGAATCTGGCTGGGTGGGCGGTGCCTGCTACAAGTGTCCTTTTTTAGTCTTTTGATTCTGAATGAGAGCATGAAATCGTCATCTACAGCACATTAAACCTGGAGTCATAGTGAAGATCTGAAAACGTGTGAACATGAAAAAAATTCATGTGAGTGACTAACAAGTTCATCCATGTGGCAGTGATTACTGTAGAGCCACAGCGCCCCCTGGACATGACAGCAGGCATTACTTTAAATTAATCCAAAATAAAAAAAAATTTAAATGAAGGAAAATATAAAGAATTTACACTAAAGTTCATAAAAACTGACAAACTGACGACTGGACCCTAAGAGTTAGTTTGGAGGTTTCTTCATATACAGGAGAGCAGGGATGTGAAATAGCACCAAAGTGGAAAAGTCAAGCACAGAAATTGAGAAGCAGATGGAAGATTACTGTGAATTTAGTCAAAGATACGAGCAGAGTCTGAAAAGTCCAGAATAGTCAGATTGAGCTAGCTGAGCAGGAAACTGTGGCCTGGGCCAAAGCGAACGTGCAGATAAGAAGATATATTCACTTTATTTGTTTTACCCAGAATCACCGAAGGTTTGGACTCTGGTTGAGTCTGTCTGCTGCAGCTCAGTCACATCTCCACTTCATGTGGGTCGTGTATGTGCAGCAGTACTAAGAAAGAAGTCTCCTGGTTTTCAGTTGGCCAATGAGCTGACAGATTTTTACTTTACCTTTTCTTATATCTTCCTCTTATCACTCCAGAAGCAGAAGGTTCCAGAGGTTTAGAAAATGCTCCAGCTGTAAAGACTACAAACCCCACATCACTAAATGATTTCAGGCCTGCTGCTTTAACGTCTCTAGAGATGAACATCAGGGAGGAGATTCTGCAGCAGGTGGAAGAGCTTCCACTGATATTTGCATACAGGCCTTGTATATACTCTACTGGTTCATCACAGTGATGTTGTCTCTCTCCTCTGCTCTATATTCTGTAATAGAATGACTGTCAAAGTACACATGATAACAGTCATTGTAAGTCATGGGGCTGTGGATGAGTTTGCTTCTTGGCGTCATTTTTAAAGATCAACACCCTGAAAACTGAAGACATGGTCACTGACTCCAGGGGGTCAGGCCCCATCCTGCACTAACAATAGTAAACGGTGCCACCTGACATTGAACTGGTGGACAGTTACAAGTATTTGGAGGGTAGTTTTTGATGTTCTGCCCTTTGAGTCACATTTTGCTGCTACAAAAAAAAAGGTCCAACAACGGCTGTGTTTGTAAGGAAATTGAGTTTTTTATGTTTCATCTGAAATTATGATACATTTTTAATCTGTTCTAATGTTTTGTAGCGTTGTTTGGTACGGTAATCTGTCTCTTCGTCACAGGACCGAACGGACTCAGGCTCTTAGAATGTAAAGTCACATTTTCAGCTGCTTCCCTCAGGTTGTTGGTGACGTGCCTGCAGTGAAGACCTGCTGTTGTTGCCAACACCGTCACATACAGCATTTCCTTCAAGAGTCAAGATTCAAAGTGTTTATTGTCATGTGTCCAAAGAATAAAAAAGACATTTCTCTGTGCAATGAAATTCTTTCTTTGCTGCCGATTAATATATGCAATAGAAATAGAACAGCTAAAATACAAATAGTACAAATAAATAAGTGAAGACAGAAAGGGAGACAAAAATATTTAATTCTGAAACAGATGTGTGCAAAAGAGCCGTAGCTTAATATGCAGGATGACCTGATGTGCAAAAAGTTATTATTACTGTTCGAAAATAGGTCAGCTGTTCACGAGTCTTGGGGAAGAAGGAGCTGTTGAGTCTGGATGTTCTGGATTTCACACTCCTAAACCTCCGTCTCGAGGGCAGAAGTGTGAACAGTCCATGTTGGGGGTGTGTGGGGTCTTTGAGGATGGAGGCAGCTCTCCTCTGGACTCTGCGATGGTTGATGCTCTGCAGAGCATCTCCGCAGTTGTTATCACTCTCTGCAGGTGTTTGGTCCATAGCAGCAGTGCTGCAGATGGTCAGTGTGCTCTCCACAGTGCAGCTGTAGAAGCTGCTGAGGATCTTGGCCGACATACCAAATTTCCTCAGCCTCCTCAGGAAGTACAGCCGCTGCTGAGCCTTCTTGACCAGCTGTGTGGTGTTAAGTGACCAGGTGAGGTCCTCACTGATGTAGACGCCCAGGTACCTAAAGCTGCTCACCCTCTGCACTTCAAGGCCCCGGATAAACAGCAGCTGGTGAGGCCTCCTCTTCTTCCTCGTATCCACTATCATCTTCTTTGTCTTGTCAGTGTTGAGGGTGAGGTTGTCCTCACACCATGACATCAGACAGGCCACCTCTCTCCTATAAGCGGCTTCGTCCCCTCCAGTGATGCGACCGATCACTGCGAACTAGAAGATGGGACTTTCTTGTAACTCTTGATAAAACTTGGGCTGTTCTGTTTGTTTGTTTGTTTTTCAAATGTCTGTGTTGTTTGATGAGTGGACATGCTGCAAATCAATTTCCCATTGGGGACAATAAAGTGATCACTGACCATTGTTATCAGCTCTATACACTGACCCAGGGTTTCCCAGTCCACTTATAAAGCACAATCAAAAAAAGAAGCAGTGTACACATCATATGACTGATCACACGCCTGGTCTGCCAGCAACAGGACAAAGTTATCAATCACAAAAACAACAACAAAACAAAGGCATTATAAACGTAAATCTGTGTGCCCTCTTGGGGAAAGTAAAACAATGAGTCTGCCACTCTTAACCGACACATCCAGTCTGCCTGAAAGTGAAAGACAAAGAAATCTACAACAGAAAAAGTTAAACATGGATTTACAACAGGTTCAACGACATGACAGGTAGCTTATTGTTAAGCAACAGAACAAACACACAGGTGAGTTATTTATTCCCTTCCACCCTCTGTTTGTTCTAAATAGTTTATGGAGGTACAATGGTAAATACCAAAAGTCTCATTCTGCCTGAAAACACCTGATCTGTGTGTTGCTGTGTGGCAGGAGTGAAGCCTACGTAATTCACACACTGACTATGCAGGACCACAAGAGCCACGCGCATCAAAATAAAGAATTCTGTGCTTAAATAATAATTTGTAGAATAAATTCTGCACTTGTAAATCCATTTTT